TTTATGACCATCTACTTATCTATTCATATTTATGTAGTGTGTAATCATATCTATTTATCTACAGTAAATCTGAATAGGCAAACACTGCTTGTTTCTAGATATTTACTATCTGTTCAACCTAGGACGCATAGTTCTGTGATAAACTAGACTAGTATCTGACATGACCATGAGTGTGATTGATTAACTATTAACTTGTATAAGTTAATTATCCTCAACAGTTTGTAGTAGCAGCTTTTAACAAGATTGGAAGTAAACCTTACATTTGTAAATTAGTTGTATCGGTCTAACACCTCATACCAGAGTAGAAACATACATACATATGTGTATGAAAAATAACCTTAAATTTGAATCAATATAAAGTTATATATCCCTGTATCAAAAATCTTATTTCTGTAATATACAGAACTCTGTGCCAATGAACTAAAAAATACTTGAAATTTTTTTCACTCTACATGCTAATCCCAGCACCTCCCTCCTCTCCTCCCTGTCCCACTCTTCCACACTCTTTACCGTTTCCCTCCCCCTTCTTTTCAGAACTCACACCCCCATAACCAACCCACCCGAGAACATCAAGTCACACCAGGACCAAGTGAATTCTCCTCCACTGAGGCCAGACAAGGCAGCCCAGCTAGAAGAAAGTGATCCAAAAGCAGGTGCCAGAGTCCATGTCAGAGACAGCCCGCTTCATTTGAAGACCAAGCTGCCCATCAGTTCCATTTGGGTTGGGGGTCTCCATCCAGTCCATGCATGCTCTTTGGATGGTGCTTCATTCTCTGTAAGCCCCTTTGGGCCTAGGTTAGTTGCCTCTGTTCATCTTCTTGTGAAGTTCTTGTCCCCTCTGTGTCCTCCTGTCTTTCCCCCGACTCTTCAAGACTCCTTGAGCTCTGCCTAATGGCTATGGGTCTCAGTGTATGTTTTGATCTGCTGAGGAGCCACTCAGAGGACAGTTATACTAGGCTCCTGTCTGCAAGCACAGCCGAGCACCATTAATAGTGTCAGGGGTTGCAAATATAATCAACACAACATACAGCAAGCCTATAGCCAACATCAAATTTGCTGGAGAGAAACTTAAAGCAGTTCAACTAAAATCAGGGACAAGACAAGCTGCCCACTCTCTCCATATCATTCTATGCATAGTACTCGAAGTTCTAGCTAATGCAATAAGACAACGGAAGGAGATCAAGGAGATACAAGTTGAAAAGGAAGTCAAAGTATCCCTATTCACAGATGAGATAGAATATATGTGACCCCCAAGATGCTACCAGAGAACTCCTACAGCTGATAAACACCTCCAGCAAAGTCGCTGAATAAAAAATCAACTAAAAAAAAAATTCAGTAGCTCTCCTGTATACAAATGACAAACAGCCTGAGAAAGAAACTAAGAAAACAACACAATAGACACAAATAATATAAAGTATCTCGGTGTAACTCTAACCAAGCAAGTGAAAGACTTGTAAGGCAAGAATAGCAAAAGATTTTTAAAAGAAATTGTTGAAAGTAGAAGGAGGCCGACAATGACAGTGATTAAAGTCTTTTTTTTTTTTTAAGTAATAGTGGGGAGCAAATCCAGAACCTTCCATCTACTCTCTAAGCACTGGGCTACACCGCCAGCCCTCTCTGAAGTCTAACATATTGTGTATTATACATGGGTGTGTTGATGTGCCTTACACAGCTGTTCCTAAGCTCCTAGGAGTGTCCATTCCCACACGTGTCTTCCTGTGGACAGCCTCATCATTGTTATCTCTTCTCTGCCTCTTCTACGACTCTCCCTGACCTCCTTCTGGCTGCCTCGTTATTAGTGCAATTTGTGTAAAAGTGAAAGGAGCTTTGAAATAATTCCTGCAACAACTGATGCCCTAGTATAATTCAAAAACGTAGGAAATAAGGTGTCTCATAGGCCTGAAAAAGAATCACACTTGCTTGGTGAGAGCCTCATGTTCCTTCTCTGAGCCATCATTAGAACACAGGAAAACAATCTCACTGTTCCTGACAGCAGGGAAAGCAAGACTGGAGATGAGAAGGGCAAGTGGGCTTCATTCATCATCCAGCAAGGCAGCAGGACGGCTCCCTGCTCTGTCCCTCTTGCATTTTTTGATTTATTTTTTATTTTATACAATTTATTCACTTTGCATCCCAGCTGTGGCCCTCTCCCTCATCCCCTCCCAATGCCCCTCCACTGATAGGGGAGGTCCTCCTCCCCTTCCCTTTGACCCTAGCTGATCAGGGCTCATCAGGACTGGCTGCATTGTCCTCCTCTGTGGTCTGGTAAGGCTGCTCCCCCTCAGGGGGAGGTGATCAAAGAGCCAGCCACTGAGTTCATGTCAGAGACAGCTCTTGTTCCCATTACTAGGGAACACACTTGGACACTGAGCTGCCATAGGCTATATCTGAGCAGGAGTTCTAGGTTATCTCCATGCATGGTCCTTGGTTGGAGTATCAGTCTCAGAAAAGACCCCTATCCAAGATTGTTTGGTTCTTTTGCTCTCCTTGTGGAGCTCCTGTCCCCTTCAGGTCTTTCATCTCCCCCTTCTTTCATAACATTCCCTGCACTCTGCCCAAAGTTCGGCTATGTGTCTCAGCACCTGCTTTTATAGAATCTTTCAGAGGCCCCCTCTGGTAGACTCCTGTCCTGTTCCCTGTTTTTTCCCTCTTCCGATATCTATCCCATTTGCCTTTCTGAATGAGGATTGAGCATCTTACCCAGGGTCCTCCTTCTTGCTTAGTTTCTTTAGATGTACAGATTTTAGTATGATTATCCTATTCTCTATGTTCCCCAATTCTTATTCAGTCCAGGAGCCCAGTAAGAAAACAGTGCCACCCACAGTCTTCCCACCTCAGTTAATGTAATCACCACAGTCCCTGGAGAGACCCATCTCCCTTGTGATTCTGGGTTCTGTCCAGTTTAGTCAGTGCCTGGAGAGACTTCTGTCTTGCCTTGGGAATGGATTGCCATCCAGAACAGAGCTTGTGAGTGACTACAGCTGAACTCTTTAGTAATGTGTATCCCGTGCTCGTGCTTGATAATGATGCCAAGAGTTGTCTTCTGCATCAAAGCCTACAGACGTCCAGATGTGCCCCTGTGAGCTGAGGAGATCACTGACACCCCCACCTCCCGGCAGATATGCCTTCTTTGTACCATCCGCAAACAAAAGCATGCCGGCCTCTTATCATGATTTCTGCCAAAATCATGACCTTCTGCATTTGATGTGGAAGCCAAAGAGGGATGATGATGCAAGACAAAAACCCCAAAGTGCAATGGGCCAGGCTTTCTTCTAACGATTCCCTTTGAGATCGCCCATTTTCCCTCCTAACGATAATTTGGCTAATTGCTTAATAATTCTATTTAAATGTCACTGTTTCTGCAGACGTCCATTCATTAGACCCACTTTTTCAGGCTGAAAAAAGCCTTTGCTTCTCTGAGCATCCTCTGTCTCTTCCCATTCATGCTGCTGCCCGAGCAGCATCCTAATGACACAAAGAGAATCCCTTCGGAGAGGTGTGAGCAGCTCAGGGCGTCTGTCTCTTTGTGATCCGCAGCCCAAGTAATGTAATCCATGTCCTTGAAACAGAGCCTGTGGTTGGAAAAACTCACCACTGTGCCTTCGTAAGCCAGCTTCCATGCCGCACACACGAAGCCATGACTGCAGCCACCCAAGCTCCCTCCCACAGCGAGAGGCGTGCTGTACTTGACATAGTGAGAGGCCGCATGAGAAAGCAAAGTGCAGACAGGGGCCCACAACTGCCTGGCCGACCCTGGCTGTGGACTTCAGCTCCGGGTTACATTAAACTTAAAAAAAAAAAAAAAAAATCCATACTGAAGCCCTGCTCAAAGCAGTGGTCGGGAAGCACAGTGTAGCCACACAGACCCTGTACAGTGGGAGGATATGCCTTGCTTAAAGCTGGGCAAGACCACCATGTCTGGATCAGGGAGCAAGCTTGCTTCCTACAACGCAGCTTGCGCCTCACTTGTTCCGGCAAAGGGAAGTTATCCAGCCTACTAAACATAGTCTAGCCCGTTGTTCATCATTCTTCCCTTCTGCAGCCCACCAGCTGAAAATCTGCAGAGTTTCTTTTCATTTTATGTGAAGGACGGCTCTAGTGCCCAACTTTGAAAGCTCAGGTCTCTTTATCCAAATGTTCATCTACCACGAGTGAGCCAACACAAGAATTCCATACCTTCTTGTCTTCTTGGAAAGGTTAGAGGTATAGGCCTCTAAAGGCCTAGACCTTCTGTCTTGGAAATGTCCTTGGACCAGTGATGTGTAAAATAACCACAAGAGGATCAAGAAGAGGATGTCATGGAAAACTAGGGGGTTGAGCTTATGGCAACTCATTACTTTGAGATCCAAGGTGTGTGTGTGTGTGTGTGAGAGAGAGAGAGAGAGAGAGAGAGAGAGAGAGAGAGAGAGACCTAGCTTTGAAGGCATGGACATGGGCAAACGCACCAGTGGGAGGTGGAGAGAGTGGAACTCACTTAGAAAGTGAAGGACCCACTCTACGCCGGCACTTGTTCTGTGAGTTATGGGGGTCTATGTCTGTTTAGCCCCCGACAGACAGACAATGATAACCCAGAGAAATGATTCCACCCAAGCTCAGCCTGTGAATCAATTTGTTTGACTGGAGTTACTTGCACGGTATTGACTAGGACTGTCCCGGGTGCTTTACGTGTGTCCCTCACCAGCGTCCTCGCCACGTGCCCATGAGGTAAGTGCTACTCTTAGACCTATCTGCAGATAAGATGAGGGCACGAAAAGATGAGACCAACTGTCCAGGGTCACACAGCTAGCGAACTGCAGGGTCGAGGACTGAGCCCAACCAGCCAGGTTCTCTGGTTCTCGGGACTGTGCCTTCACTCCCTACACACCCCTCCCCGACACCATGTGCGCATGCACAGTACGAATGGAATTCTGGGTAGGAGTGTTGCCTCTAGGCTTTAAGAAGAGAGCGGCGAGCGTTGAATTTACCTTTAACTGTTCTGTTTTTCCCTCCCACACTCTCAGATGATGGAAATGCTTAAGGCAAACTAAGGTAGTGTCAGACCTCACCATGTAAGTGTGAGCATGGCTGCTTGTGGGTACAGCTACGTTTGTGCGCTTCTGCCTTCCGATCCCGCATGTTTGCACCGCTCTTCTCCGAATCCCGCTTCCAGCGCTTGGCACTTGGGCCGCATGAACTGTCTTTTTAAGAGTCTGTGTCTTTGCTCCTGATTTTATACTTGCGCCTCACCCACACACAAAGGCCAGCACAGGGTAAGAGCCAGAGAACACGCGACTGTCTGCCTGCTGTCTGCCCAGCGAGCCGGGAGTCCTGGGGAATGCAACGGGTGACTATTTCCGGGGCAATAAGCCGGGGGTTGTCAGCGTTGGGAATGCTAGCACTTGCGCATGCCTGACTGCAACAGACCACTCCAAGGCGGAGGGTTACACAGCTGCTCTACACAGGCCGTGACTTGCGCCCGGCACCGGACCTGTTTGGTGTTCTCTGGGGCCAGGGGTCTTAAATGGGCTACTGCTCTGTCTTTCTCCATGGAGTCCATCACGCCAGGTAACAGGAACTATGGAGAGGGATGGGAGTCCTCTCATTTACCTACTTTCTCTCTGCACATACGTATATGATGGACAAACGTGCCTGTACGGAGAATAAAACACATTATAAAAGAGAAAGGACGAAGGGCTCTAAGCTAGGTATGAGCGAAAGCAGGCCTTCATTGTAGACACACACATATACTCACTATTCATTTTGGTGTTCCTTGATTTTACACAACCCATATTTTCACTCTGAGGAAATTTAATATAGGGCAAATTGAATTTCCAGAGTAAGAAAATTGATGGAAGGAGATCTTTGTGCCTGAGAAGAGTATATGTGGAACACTTAGAATACAGTTTGGGGTTAGAGATACAGCCCTGTGCTGGTGTGCTTACCTGGCATGAGCCCTAGGTTCAATCCCAGGACCCCAAAGCAAAGAAAACATGATCCTGTCTCATTGTCCGCTCCCCACAACGAACCTACAGACCCTCACGTGTGCACACGTCAAGCCTGAGCTTGATGCTACCTCGTGTTCTCAGTTCCAGCGGAATGTTAGTACATGTTCAAGTTATCGAGTTATATATTCTGCATAACAAGAATTTAAAACTGAAGACACTCTCAGTGTTTGGCATCTGACCAAACACTGCCCAGTCTTTGGAACTCAAACCATGCAGTGTTGAGACCCCCAAGCCACCATTTGGACCTGCAGAGTGCCAGAAGTTATTAGGGATGAATCCTTTGGCTCCGAACCCCTTAATTCACAGACGATGGCTGAGACCTTCCGAGAGAAAATAGCTTGGAGTGGAGGCAGATTGGAACCCCCGCCATCTTTCCCCCAGGGCATCCTTCGGAGCAGGGGCAGGGCTCCCCTTTGGACAGAAAAATACGGAGAGCTCTTTAAAAATACAGTGAGTCTGAATCTCCAGACCCCAGGTCTTGCTCCTGGCTCTGACACCGGAGACACTGACAAGCTGAAGAAAGGTAATACGGCTTTCTGAACCATTTTCTCAGAACAGCTGCCTGAACGAAGTGCCCGGCCAAGTTTGTTCATTCATTGCTTAATTAACATCAGCTTGCTCATTGGGCCGGTTTGGGGTCAGCTTTCACCTGCATTTTCCACAGTAAGTTAGGGGAAGTTCAGTTAGGCCACACAAGCAGGGACCGTCCTGGGGGTTGGCGGGGTGGAAGAGCTGTATCTCTTACTAACTGAAGAAAAACAAGGCCAAAGAAGGAAGAGGTCTGAGTGAGAAATAAGGGAGGGGCCCGCTTTACCTGGTCCCATCAAACTCATAGAAACATGCCCGTCTCAAGTGTAGTCATCTGATTTCTGGAATCTGGACATATCAGGAAATGTACAGATCACCTGGTGTCTGTCTCCCAAGATACTGCTCCTTAACTGAGCCCTGGAGAGTGGTAGGAAGGGGTCACAGCCTCTCCTTTCCACTGCATCATTAAAGAGGCCAAGAACTCTTCGACAGAGAATGACCTGAAAGCCAAAAGGGCAGCCATAGAAACAGGCACGTGTCAGTGTCCAACTCAGTTCTGAGCTACCTGCCTTCATGCACACACAGACATAAAGATGCTGACTAAATTTGCGATGTCCTTCTCACGGTGCCCTCTCTTTCCATAGCCAATGCATGGCACCTTCTGGTGAACCTTTTTTGGGGCACAAAGAATCATCACTGATTTTAACAATTTGGACGGTTTCTAGGTTCTTCACTTAATTTATTTGTATTTCATGGACACAGGTGTTTTGCCTACATGTCTGTGGGAGGGTGTCAGATCCCCTGGAACTGGAGTTACGGACAGCCGGGAGCTGTCATATGGACGCAGGGAATTGAACCCGGATCCTGTGGCAAAGCGGCCCTTGCTCTTAACCACTGAGTCATTAATTTGGTGTATACATCTTAGGTTCAGATGCCAGTGGGCAAATAAAATACAAAAAGAAAAAAGAAAGAAAAGAAAAAGAAAAACTGTGGCCTAGGAAAACATTGCCAGGATGAATTTCAGCCCCAGAGTTTTGGTCAAGAAGAAGCATAGGAGTAATCCATCCGGCAGGAAGTGTGGAAGGGCTCTTAAAGCTGCATCTGACAGCGCTTCACTTAAGACTGACAGGTACAGCCTGTTATGTGGAGACCACAGCGACTAGAAATTGTGGACACGATCCACCAGCCTCTTCTTAGCTGCCATCAATACCCTAGTGTTACTGGCTTGGGACAGCTGTAACACTGTCTGAAAGGGAAAATGGCACCTTCAGAGAGCCACGCAAGGCTGCATTGGAAATGCGGGACAGGCAGACAAGTGGAGGTCAGCACTGCCATGTTCAATACTTCTTGTACCAGCGAGCTCCCTGATCAAATCAGCCAGCTAAGCCTTAGGCGGAGTGAAACCCACTCCCCTGCTCCCCGCCACCCTTGATCCAAACCCATCCTAAGCAGGGAAGGTCCAAGAAAATAGCTGTCCTATTGCGACCTCAAGTGGAGAAATTGAAAACTGCAGGTGAAGAAAGGGAAAGAAAAGAAATGGAGGAGAAAAGAGAGAGGGAGGAAAGATGAGCTCCTGTGAGAACCTACCAATGAGCCCCAGGCTCAGCCTGAAATTCTTCCTAGATGGAAAAAAGGTGGCTCTGTAGCTGAGCCCCCTGAAATATCAGCCAGGGCTTGGTGACCTCTCACCGTGTCCAGACATCGTTTCAGAAACGGAGTCTCAAAAGCTAGTCATGCCACAGGGAATCCTGCCTACTTAGCATTCACAGCTACTCCAGGATAGTTCTGGAATCTACTGGAAGGTTCTTGGTTCGTCCAGTCCTTTGTTTCTTTTTCCTAGAGGAGGCCTGAAAACAAACTGGGCCTCCAAAAGTCAAAAGAGGCAGCCCACAGAACGAGGGAGGAGGGTCAACACACCTGCCCACCTCATCCTAGAAAATCCTGCAGGCTGGCCCTGTGCCAGAGGGTCAGTGGCCCTCCCCTGCAGTCCCGGCTCTTGCCGGTCCACACAGAGGAAAGCAAGCCTGCCACCACCAGTACCTGTAGGCGCTGGTTCTGGGGGCTTACGCTGTGCCTGACAGACAGGAGACTGAATTGTTTTAATTGTTCTCGGAATGCAGCACCCACACAAGCAACAGTATCCCTCCAGAGGCTTGTTCAGAAGGTTAAATTCTTGAGCTCCAGACCTAGGAATTAAGCACGCGGGCAGTCAGTCCCAGATGCTGTCCTGGTGACAGTGTGAGGCCTCCTAGATTCTGAGAACCACCGCCACGTACTGATTTGCAAACGTCCCAGATAGAAGATGGCAACTCTCTGAACTAAACAGAGGGATGAAGCAGCTCTGCAGTGAGTACCTGCAAACTGGGGTTTGGGTTTTGTTTGGTTGTTTTTGGTTTTTGAGACAGGGTTTCTCTGTGCAGCCTTAGCCGTCCTAGACTCACTTTGTAGACCAGGTTGGCCTCGAACTCACAGAGATCCACCTTCCTCTGCTTCCCGAGTGCTGGGATTATAGGGGTATGTCACCCTGCCCGGCTCCGAAAACTGTTCTTAAATAGGTTTCTGATGTGATTCTAGTGAGGGGAACCAGAGAAACTTTGCTCTGGAGAAAGGAAGCCTTCTCCACAGTATTTAGCCTTTTTTCTGACGTTAGAAATAAACGTTATTCTCACTTCTTACCAGGCCTGGAAGAGTCTGAAAATGCCCCAGCTTCTCCGGCCTGTAGATGGGACTGGACCGTGCTGCCCCTGTAAGGAAAAGTCACAGTGAAGTGTGCCTCCCACGGGGGTGGGGTTCACTTCCGGGAGAGGGGCAAGACAAGGACGCGGGTGGGCAGGGAGTTCTGGGAAGGCCATCCGCTCTCACAGAGTCAGCGTCTCTGGAGGGATCCTGAGAACCATGTTAGGCTGGCATCTGGCCCCAGGCACAGCTGCTCTTTCTTCTTACTCTCCCCATGTCTACAGCAGGTGCTTTCCGGTAGGGTCCACAAGAAGGTCTTGTAATGCCACTAGGAAAAAACATTTTTAGGCTTTGAAGTTAAGCGCTGGGATGTAGCTCAGTTGGTGGAGTCCTTGTCTAACATGCGCGAAGCCCCAGGTTCAATGCACAGCACAGGATAATCCGAGCGTAGAGGTGCACACCTTTAATCCCAGCACTGGGGAGGTCAAGGCAGAAAGATCACAAGTTCAGGGTCATCCTCAGCTACAAAGCTAGTTAGAGGCCAACCTGGGCTGCATGATCAATGCTTTTTTAAAAAAGAGGGGAGGGGTTGGGGTGAATGCCCCCTGGGACTCCAGAAGAGACTCACCATCGTTCTTCAGTTCAGTGGGACGTCATCACCTAACCCCACCCTCACCCTAGTTCTCTTCAATCACCCACACTTACTCAGGAGGCCCTCAGAATGCCTGTGGTCACGGTTTCAAGCATGCAGCGGGAGCAGAGCCAGACTTGCTGTTGACACTTGCAGTGACTGGGCTCGTGAGCGACACCCACTGCATCGGGCAACAGCGCTGCAGAGATGCTGTGTGTGTGGACTGCAG